CATGAAATTGAGAGTGGCAGCTATGAAGATGGGGAAGAAAGACCAGAAGAAGTCCCACAAGAAAGAAAGAAAGAACGGAGCTAAGAGTGCTTTATATAGAGGCAACTTTGTTAGGTGGAAAATTTATTGGAAATAAAGAAATAGCCCACAATCGAACGAAAGTCGAACGAAATTACCCACAATCGAACGAAAGTCGCACGACAATCTGCCAATGATGTTGACAGGAAACGGATATCAGAATCGGTCGATAGCGAGGAGAGAAATAAAAAAATGCAGACAGAGTCGAACGATCTCGCACGATAACGCATTCTTATCGCTCGACATCCAAATCCGAGGCTTTTGTCATCGTTCAATCTACTTAGGAGTTAGGACTGTTAATAAATAAGAGAAAGTCTAGTATACCACACAGTTGAATGTTAATTTTGGTTTCTTAATTTTATTGATTTGTATATTTTTTATTTTTAAAATATTTTATACATATTTTTTATCCTTCAATTTTAATAAATGTACAATGTTAGTATTTTCATCAATTTGGACAATTAATTCTGTTTAAGTAGTATTTTTTTTATAGTTTTTTTAATGATGTGACAAAATACGTGATATTTTTAAAATTTTTTTTAATGATATAACAAATTAAATTAAATCTAAATGCTTATATAGATAAAAAAATGATGGCAAGTCAAATTTTATTAATTAATCATTATTAAACTATAATTATTTATGTTAATTAAAATTGAGATTCTAATTAATTTATAATTAAATCCTAATTTTCTTATCAAAATTTCTTTATAGACATTACAATTTTTTCTCAATTAACAAACAAATTAAAACCATTTTCTCAGTATCCAAACACCCAAACTGTATAATTTTTTAGCCAAGCAAATGGAAACCCACTGAAAATTGCTTCTTTACCTATCAGTCATTGCTTTTGTTCTTTCCATTGTTGCGATGTTCTTTTCATTTTGAACATTAAAATCATTTAGACAATAGTTAAGAAATATAAAGCAAAAGGATCCCAAATATCCCTCACAACCTGCAATTTGCATAAACTCTTCACAACAAACATATAACAAAAAAAAAAAAGTTGGGTTCCATCGAACCCAAGCTGAGTAGGGAACCCAGATCAATTAGGTTTTGAGGGAACCCAGCAACACAGAGGAAGAAAGAAAAAGAAGAAAAGAAGGAAGATGGATCGAAAAAGAAAAAGAAGATGAATCAAGAAAGGGAGACATGGGTATTAAGGTAAATCTATAGTTTTTTATTTTTTTTTAAATATAAATAGTAATTTGGCATGAGTTGATGTTTTTATTTTTAATTTATATGATGTGTTACTGTTATGTCATCAAAAAATTTAAAAAAAAATGTCAACATGTAACTTTTTAACTGTCATGTTATGAATAATTGATAAAAAAATTAATATTATATATTTTTTAAAGTTAAAAGATAAAAAATCTTCATAAAATATTTTAAGAACTCAAAATGTACAAATCGATAAAGTATAGAAACCAAAATGATCGATATATATTATTATAATATGTATTCTAAATTAATTATGAACTGACACGTAATCATGTTGTGGGGATACTAAACACTTAACCTAATTTGCTTTTTTACTCTTTTTGCCGTTAGCTTCCCTTCATCCTTCTCCTTTTGTGTTCCTTCACTAAGAAACTTGCGGGGGATATAAATATCTTTCTTCTTTCAATTGCTTCCAAGCTTAATATATCAAATTACATTGCAAATTTATCTGCCCGCTCCATCAATTTCTCTCTTAACCTCCATTCTAGGCAAGAAGAAGACTCATAAAACTTGGGTAATTAAATTGGTATTGATAATTCGTCTGGAAGTGGAAATTTTGTTTATGCTATATAACTTTTTTTTAATATATTTAACACTAACTACTTTTGAAACCCAAGTATCTTTCACCTTTTTTTCTCAGTTTATTTTTTATTTTTTATTTTTATTTTTATTATTATTATTATTTTTGTATTCTAGCACTTTTCTTCTATTCTAATCAAGTTAAAATCTCATATCCTTCTCTCCTTACATGATCTGACATTTCCATAAAGTTTGTGCTTTTTTTTTTGTTTTTTTGGCTATCAATAAAGTTTCTATTAATAAGAAATTTTATTTTCTTGGTTTGGGTTATTAGGAAGAACAAAGAAGAGGGGCAAACGGCACAAGACCCTTTTTCATTTAAGTTTACTAATTTGAAAGTTTATTCAAACAAACACAATTGACATATTGCAAAAAATAAAAAATGATTTATCATGGATGAAAAACAATACAGAAAAAAGGAGATTTGGTAAAGAAAAAAAACTAAGGAGATGAAAGAGTGGACTAGAGTGGGGAGGAGAGAGAAGCTTTAGACATCTAACGGGAAATTTCTCGGTTGATTGAGTGAATTTCCCTGGAATAGAGGGTATTACCAAGAGGTATTACGTAAATAATTTCTTCTTCATACGGAAGTACATTGAAAGAAGAGAAAGATTGACGTAGTCACCCATAAGAGATTGAAAATTTAATGGAAGAAATGGCCCACAATCGAACGAAAGTCGAACGCAAGTCGAACGCATTGCCCACTATCTGCCGACAATGTTGAAAGGAAAGACAGATAGAATCGATCGATAGCGAAAAAGATAAATTAAAAAAGCAGACAGTGGCCAGCGATCCCGCACGATGAAACGTTTTTCATCGTTCGAGATCTAAACCCGAGCGGAGGCCAAGAAAAAAATAGATCTAAATTTGAGGCTTTTGTCATCAGTAAGTTTCGACCTAACCAATCAATTATGAAAAGGACAATAACTCAACAATATATAGTATTAACTCCGCTTCATTTTCTCAACTCAGAATCCTTAGAGATCATATATTGAGAGAAGTAGCCAGCTTGAGCTTTCTATAGAGAGATATCAAATGAGGAATCAGGCATATCAACAACAACCAACTTTTTATGCAATTTTTTTCATCTTCTTAGGGAGGGGTTAGTTAATTTATCATGTGTTATGTGCACAGGAACGAAGAGTAAGTAAGAGGTTGGAGACCAAGATGGAGGAGCTGCAGTCAGAAATGGATGCCCTAAACGAGGAACAATCAAGATTAAGATAAGGGCAAAGAGAAATGAAACAACATTTTGAAAAGATCAAAGCGGAGTGTGCACAGCTGAGACAGGAGACCAGCCTCCTTCTCCAGCGAAATCTAGGCTCCCAGCCTCGCCTTGTTGCGAACAAACGTGGTTCTATCTAACGAACATCTTGCAAATTAATTAGAGAGGACATGGATTTTGCCTTTGCCATATGTTGCTGTGTTAAATTAATTATCAATATGAATGTCACCTTCTATTACATTTCTACCACTGGTTGTATATATTGAGGTCTGCTTTCTATGGATAAACAAAAAATCATGCGTTTCCATACATGAATTATAGAGGAAAAATGATAATTTTATAGACTGTTTAATATAAAGAAAGGGAAAGGAAAATTATTACAACTGATAAAATTATGTTATTGACATAATAATTAAATTTACTTGTTAAAATAATGCCACCTCACCTCCCTTTTTGTCCGTCTTCCTTAAAGCAAGAAGTATTGAGTAATTTCTTCTTATATAGGAGTATATTAATATAGGAGAAAGATTAATGCGGTTATCCTTGTGAGGTTGAAAACTAATCGGAACAAATGGCCCACAATATCGAACGAAAGTGGAACGCCGATCTACCGATGAGGTTGACAGGAAAGATAGGGGCGAATGATCGCGCACGATGGCGCGCGATCTCGCACGAGGACGCGTTTTTTATCGCTCGAGACCGAATCCAGCTGAGGCTTTTTGTCATTTGCAAAGTTGAACCTACCAAATCAATTAACAAAAGGAAAATAGTTCTAACCAAATAAGTCCACATATGCACTTAATTTTGTAAGTCAGATGATTAGGGCATTTAATACTTTAATTGATATTAAGATTTGAATTACAGTAATATCATGCAAATATTCCTTTTCTTTTATCCTTAAATTGTAATTGTTGAAAAGAAAAAAATCGACATATAGACCTGCCTCTGCTTCATTTTCTTAACCAAGAAGTATCTTCATCATCATCAGTGTTTGCATTTGAAAGCGCAAATTGATTAGGGACAATGCTCTTGAAGGTTTAAAGATGGGAAGGGGAGAAGATCCATTGATGGTGTATGACTCACATGAGAGTTGTTTTTATTTTTATTTTTATTTTTATTTAATCTTTGTTGCACGGTAAGAGGTTCAATTGAAGTGGGCAACGCGGGCGAAGGGTGAAGTAGTAAATCGCAGAATGGAGGATGTAGATTTGGACGAACAAAGACTAAAAGGAGAAATTAAGCAATCATTTTGGAGTAGGTTTTTCTTCTTTTTTTTTTCATATTTTTATTTTTTTCAGTGTCCACTTTATATTTGATTTGACTAATAAAATGCCATAATCAACAAATTTATCCTTGGAACAAAAAAATAATATCCTTTATTTTTTATTCTTCTAAAAGTAATTTTTATTAAAGTACTGTAATTAAGTGGACTAATGGAGTACACTATGAAGAAAATTGAAGTAAATTTGCTGGGTCTCCGACATTAACAGTTCATTAATTTTTTTTTTTTATTTTTTATGAAGAAAGCATACCAAAATAATATCCTCTCCTTTCATTTTTAATTAATTTAATTTAATTTAATTTAATTTTCATGATGATGTAAAAAAAAAAAAAAAAAAACCAACCCAACATATAATGCACAGTGAGGGGTAAAATAGAATCCGAAGAAAACCACAATCCGATCTAGTCCCATAGCAGAAATGAACACTGATTATAAACCTAACTCGAGAAAATCAGGAGCATCGTGCGATTTATGAAAAGAATCGCGCGTCTCCCCCCGACAGTGTGATGGGTTAAGGGCGTTTTATGTGTTGGATTCGGATGCTCCGGTGTAAAATCCAAAAGGACCCTTCTTCCCCCCTTTCTCATCTATAAATATCCTTTTGCCTGCCTGAATCCTCTCCTTGTGTCTCGTCCCTCGCTGCTTCTCTTTAATTCTGTCCATTTATCGAAAAGAGAAATCTCATACACCCATCAGCTATGACTACTGAAAAGAAAATTCGTCATCGCCTGTGTAGAAGACAGAACTTCCTTCAGGAGCCCATCGGAGTTAGTCTCAGACAGCGGCATCTTAAGGTAGCCATCAGAGTTCGTTAATTTCTGGATTTATTACTAGTAGTTTTCTTTGGTTAACTTCTTGGCTCTTTTTTCATTTTCTTTTTAATTTTTGCACATGATCCAATGACAGAGAGCCGTGGATACTACTCTCCGGCACGTGAAAGTGAAAATGACAGCTATAAAGATGGAGATGAAACGCGTGAAGAACTCCAACGAGAAAGAAAGAGTGGAGCCGAGAGAGATGCAAGCGATGCTCCAACAGCTTATAGCGGAGAGAATGCAAGCGGAGGAAGAGAGAAAGCACGCCCTGGAAGAATCCGTGCGGACGCAAGCTTGCTGTGATGCCATGGAGGCTCTGTTGTTTGCGCCCTAGGGGATCAGGTCCACCGCTCTTCCGGTTGAGCATTGATTCCATTGGTATTTTACTATTGGTCCAACTGGGTATACTATTATACAGTTTGCTTGGTGTGAAGTTTGCTTGGTTTGATTTTATCTTCACATGTTATGAATTAATTCTGGTATGTAAAAATTATGGGTTGAATTTGAATTTTATGGTTAAAAATATAAATAATTTTATTAATAAATTACATGATTGATAGTATACATTATGAATTAATGCTTCTAATTATATATGGGTTTCTTATTTTATTTTCTTTTGCTTGATTTTTGAGTAAAGAAGGGGTAATTTATTTGGCTTTTCTTCTTCTTCTTCTTCTTCTTCTTCTTCTATCTGTTAACGATTCTTCATCAGGGATGCAGGTTCTTTAAACCCACCCCAGCTTTGTCAAATCCGGACTAAAAGAACGCAAATTTTGATTTATACGCATCGGCCGATCGAGTATGACGTTTGAACTCAGGACAAATATCCTTGACCCTGACTATTC